GCATAAAATTATATTCGAGGCTGTCCAGTTAACCTTATAAAATAAAGGTGGTCGTAGGTGGACGATTGGGTTATTTGCTTTAGAAAGGATTTGTTTTCCAGGCCTAATCTACTGTCATCGAAGACGATTGCTATTTTTTGGGTGTACAGTACATTAGACTATTAACTCGATGTAAAATTTTTTCAACTCTTGAACTGTCTGCAAATTCTTTTTCTCTAAAATCAATCAACCTTTCCCTCAAAATTCACATGAATGTGGCCTAAAGTTAACTGATTTGTGGATTACAAGTTTTAATTATTGTTTGATTTAAATTATAAATTTATTAACAGGAGCTTCGCTTTTAGCCCTGGTTAATTTAGCAATTAATGAATTCGGCTTTCGTAGGATATGAATAATTAAGCAGATCGAGGAGGGTGTTATCCACAGAGGGAAGGCCGAGGTGGATAACACCCTCCGAGATCTGCTTAATTCTTCATATCCTACGAAAGCCGAATTCGTTAATTGCTTTACTATTCATTGAAAATAATTCCTAGTTTAAAAACATAGCTAAAACATGCTTACCTGCATCGATCTTCGATAGAGTATGTTTAGGTTTGTCCAGCTCCCAAAATATTCTCAAAAATAGCAGATGTCGCCCTCCGAGTTGTCTTCTTGCTGTTTTTGCTATGTTTTTATCCATTATTTCGCCTAGGTCCAGCTGTAGTTCTTACTCTTGAAACGAATGAAGTGTTCGCCATTAACCTGTAGAAGGCTGCATTTTTGACGTCATTTCATCGTTAAACACAAAATTCTTCCAAATTTGGTCATCAGTAACTGGTTATGGTGAATTATTCGTGTACTTTTAGCCAATCAGAATTGGGAAAATATTTTGAATGTATAATAATAACTATGTATTAATGAACATTGTTTTGTGAAAGCTTTTGTTGATATTGCATATCAAAGAAGGACATGTTGTCCCAAAGAAAAGCGTGGTATTTCAGTGAAATTATGAGATTCTCGCGTATGCGCATTGGCTAGTCTAAGACCACTAGGTTCTTAGTCGCTTTTGCTCGCTCAGCACCTTTCCTTGTTGATGTTTTATAATGTCAATTTTACTAAAGTTTTTGATAACTCTCACCACAGGTATCACAAGCTCACGTTACGAGCGTGTTATGTAAATTAACTTTCTCACAAGAGAGTCGGTGTCGCGTTACACGCAACAGCTGAGACTTTGTGTGAGAAATAAAATTCTTAGCTCTGGCGAACGCTAAATATCATAATTTTTACTTTTTTCTGTAAAATGAACAAAGGAGACTTACCTTTTATGTACGGCTGTGGTTTTGGTGTGAATTTATCGATTTAGTCGGGTTTTTTTGGCTGTTATTGTTTGACCCCTGTCACTCTCTTTATAATACGAAGTAAAGGCAGCACAGTAAAATAGCCGGCGGTCCGGACCTTGTCTACTCGAAGACGGTTTGTGGCCCGAAAACCCATTGAATCAGAGTTTTTCGACAAGAGGCAAACTTCTATCATCACTGCACCGCAGTAAAAGTTTAAAAGCGAAATATCCCCAGGCATGTTGCTGGAAATGGACATTTTCTCGAACCATGTCCAAAATGCCTTCTTTCTCCAGACGCCGTGATACGGCAACTGGACACGGGGCGTTGTAAGGTTTCTGCCGGTTTCTCCAATGTAAGTGGCAACACTTTTGAATATGGAGATAAACTACGGTCTACAAACTAGTGTCTTTTGAAATAAAATCACTTACTGTTCATCAGTATTCCACTTGATCAACTGGCTCTAGACTCACTCATTTCCGAATCACATAAGCATTTTGTTAGGCAAATGAAATATACATCAATTCTATTAAGGTGACTCCCTAGAGTGTTTACTAATAACCCTAGCTATCTAGCATACGGTACAGAACGAAATCTAGTTACTTTGTCTTTGCGATTTTGTTCACGAGATTCACCGCTAAGGTTACCCATATAAGAAGGCTCCTTTATCAAGTTTCATTTCCTGGATGACGTCACAAAAATCCGAAAAAGTCGCGTGGTTTGGGGCCGTATGAGCAAAATACGCGCTAGCCATCATTCCCGCATGCGCATAATGTACAAAGCTACTGAAAAAATGAGGTTTCTTTAAAGACCATACTCAAAACGTGGAGGAACAACTTTGAATGGGAGGGAGGAGGGAGGTCAGTATTATGTTTTACAGACCTTTGACCAGGAGTGATTTGAAGCAAGAAAGGTCGTTTTTCCGTGGGAGTGTCTCATCATTTTTGCAACTGGTTGTCTGAGTCCTTCATACCCCTATAGCCGTGGTGCACGATTATTAAACGGGGTAAAACGTGGTGCACTCTTAGCACCTAAGGAGGTGGTTATAAAAAACAGTATTTCATTTTTGTAGGTTTGCCTGTTTAAAAATGGCGAGACAAAAAAGACAGTTGCTGGCCCTTTTGTTTATGCGGTAATATGCAAGAAATTGGGCTTTTATAGGAAGCACGTGGCAAAAGATGTCACACCATCTTAAGTAAGCTGCAACGAAAGGGGTTTTTGGCCCTAAAACACTACAGAGATGCGAAAAATAATATATTTTCTTCGAACTTGGTTAAAAGATGTTTATTTATGGAAGGAAAGTGACGTAAAATGCCCTGCTAGATCAAGGAGATAGCTTTTTGTTGTTGTTTCCGATAAGTAGGTGGACGTGGTTCCTCTTTTATCGCCTGCCATTTACAGGAACGAAAAGTTACGCTAAAAAGCAGCTGTTGCCGACTTTACTTTACTTAACACAAGTTTGGATTTGTGTTTACTCTTTGGTCGTCTTACAACTTTGTTCCGATTTTGAAGCCCAAGTGTGGCTAGGCATCAGATAATGAAAATTCACGCGCGTATTTCAGTAACATAGTCGCGAGAGCTCGCATATAACGTGGCTTTGTAGTTCTGTACTTGGTAAGGAAATTTATTTCTTTGCAAAAAGGAAGACACTATCCCCAAGAAAAGCAATTTTCCAGCACAGCAATGTCAGGAATTTACGTGCTTCAACGGTCTACACGGTCTACACGGTCTACCATCATATGAGATAAATATATAACAATTATTCACCGAAGTGGAGGTGGCTAGTATTGGATATTTACCGATGCCGAGAAAGCGGCGAGGTAAATATCCAATACTAGCCACCGACACTGAGGTGAATAATTGTTTTAGTATATGCTAAAACAGTGAGATAATAAGCCTAAAATGATCTCAAATGACGATTTTTAATTCGTTTATTTACAACTTTGGCGCGCAAATTAAACAAACATGCGCGCAGCTCAAAATAGCCACATGACACATCTGATGATGAAATGTTCATAATTTTGTGTTTAAGACTTTACAACCGTAAATGAAAGATCAAGCTATGCGAAAGGAAAAGTCCTGGCTTTACGCCATCTTTGTAGATTGTTCTTTTCGTTGTCTGTTACAAGTTTTATTTGCTGCTGCTTCCACAGGGTCCAGAGGAGATGTGTTTGTCGTTAGAACATCAAAACCCGTCGAAAACCTCTGAAAAAACGGGTTATTTTGATCGCGTTACGGTTTCGTTACACATTCTATAGACCGCAAACCAAGAGACTGAGGGCTCGCAAGATCGGCTTACAGTATAAAATACGGAAAGGGAGGAAACAAATTTGGGGCCGATTTTCGAATCCCTGAAACTCAAATGGAATTGAATCAAATCGCCTGATTTTACTAACCTGATCTAGAATTCTTATGTATTTGCCAAATACTGTAGGAAAACGGCATAAGAAAGCGTTCAAATTCATTTTCGGCGACCTTAATTTACGGCTTCTAGAGAGCCCTTTCGTTCGGTGTGCACCGCAACACATGGTGACGGAAATGACGTAGTAAAGTAAATGTGTTCAAGATGGGAGCAATAAAAGCGAAGCCTACACGACTTTTGCCTCATGCCAAAATCAAAATGCTGCTCGTTCCAATAAAGTTTTTTTTCCTCTGCTGGGTAGATTATGCTCTGGAAGGTTCTACAGCAAATGTGATTTTAGCGGGGATTTTAGCCGCATGTTTCACACTGAGAGGTCATGACACATATCGATTTACTGTGGTTATTGTTTCTGGTCGGCAGGATTTGCCCTCTGATGAAAGCGCATTTTCTTTGACCTCTTTTGAAGCGTAAAGCTTTTTATTACGGCTGAACAAGGGTTCCAGTTTTCTCCAAAGTGCCTTCTGGATGTGAATAACTAAGCGATTTTCCTTAGTCCGTGAATGTAATGTTTTTCTTCAGTGTTGTATCACGCTGGGCCCAGCTTGTTAGTTTTGTTTGAAGAATGTTAAATTATTACGGATAGTGATTTACGGGTCGTGTGTACTCTTGCAATAAAAAGTGACACTCAGTAGAGCGGGCGTACAAGGCAACTGTAATATCATCACGACTGTGCCATTCTTCGGTGGTCCAACTTTATTACCTCTTGCGTCTTTGGCTGTGCGTTTTGCGACTACTGGGAAGCCTTCGCACAAACAAAACCTGCTTAAGACATCGAAGACTGTTGAAACGTACAACAAATGTCTAGTCTTGAAAGATCTTTACTTCAATTAAAACTCTGTTGTTTTCGCATAGATCTCTGAGATCTTTTAAAACTCTCTCCGCAGCTGATGTTTTGATTCTCGAATTAGCAGCGGTCTGTTGCTTTTGCGTTTCCGGTCTCATTCCGACTTCCGTCACCGAGTACTGCGGTTCACATAGAGCGAAGTCACGTGGTACAAGTTTCCTCCCTTGTCCTTTCTTTTACTCGGCACTTCGTGCCTCGGTCGCCCTCCGGGCGACGACCTTCGGTCACCCTTCGGGCGACGTGTCGTGCGCCAGCGAGGATATGGCTTGCGGTTATTGATTTTCAAAAGTCGATCTGGGTCAGATAAGAAGCGAAGAAATCGTTTACAGTAGATTTATAAAGATCCCATTGGGCTAATTAATCGTGCTAAGCGACAGGTATAGACATTTTTCAAGGTAAGTAATTCATTTATTCATACGAAACTCCTCTGGACCCTGTGCTGCTTCCTCCAAAGCTCACATTAAAGTTGAGATTACAGTTATGGAACGTGGCTCCGGCGGGAATGAAGCCATGGACAAGATTCTGTGATCCATCTTGAATGGACTGGAAGGAATAATTTGCAGTGCTCGTAGCTACTGATTGCGGCTGGCTCGATGACGACGCAACGGTTTTCTGAGGGACTGTAACAGCCTTGTCATCGCCACCAGCTGGATCGAAGAATTCACTTAGCTCGTTTGACATTCTTTTAAACTGCTCGAATGTCGGCGTATCACAATAGCTCTTGATGCTTTCTTCACTTTGCACATTTTTGACTTTCTGACACCTTTTTCACGTCCAGGGGGTCAAATTCCCCAGTCACGTATCACGTCGTAAAATTTACGACGTAAACCTTGTACTCGCATCGTTACGTCGTAAAATATACCAACGTCTATTTTACGGCGAGAAATCTATTATCCTTCAGTGTACTTTGAAGGTCGTCCCGTCCTTATTAAAAGTCTTCAAATATATCACGACGTGATTATATTTAGCATGACACGTTACGACGTAAAAATTACGACGTAAACGAGGAGGTTCGCGTTACGACGTAAAATAAATTTTAGCTACACGTTACGTCGTGGATATTTACGGCGTAAAAGCAAGGTACGTTGTAATAAATCCATTCGTCAAGTTGTCAATGAAATAGGTTTTACGTCGTAACTTTTACGACGTAAAATTTATCTGCTTCTTAAGTTGTCAATCAAATATAATTTTACGACGTAAAGTTAATATAGTTAAAGTTGTCAATCAAATAGGTTTTACGTCGTAACTTTTACGACGTAAAATTTATCTGCTTCTTAAGTTGTCAATCAAATATAATTTTACGACGTAAAGTTAATATAGTTAAGTCGTCAATCAAAAAAGGTTCGCAAAGTCTTAATAGATTACCATCTACAATGTTTAATAAGTTAACTTCAAAGTCTTAATAGATTACCATTTACAATGTTTAATAAGTTAACTTCAAAGTCTTAATAAATTAACGTTTTCAGTGTTTAATAACTTAACTTCAAAGTCTTAATAGATTAACGTTTCTTCAAAGTCTTAATAGGTTACCATTTACCATGTTAATTAAGTAATTTTCAAGTCTTAATTGATTACTTAATTGACTTCAAAGTCTTCATAAGGTTTAAAATAACTAATATTGCTATGTTAAAATACCTTAATTTCAACGCCTAGATTTTACACTTGTCAAAATTAAATCAATGAAGTCTCAATCGGTTATCAGCGCTATGAGTCATGCAAAGAGTTAATATTGGTCAAACGTTTTCATGCCTGATATAAGAAAATTTGTATTTCCACCTCTGTCCCATATTTATTACTAAAAGAACGCAAGCGCTGGTTTCCCGATTAACAGCTAGTCAATTTATTGAAATAACTATTTGATCGAAATTCAAGTAATGCCAACAAAGATCCAATTATAATGAAAGACCTCCCCCTTCTGGCAATATTGAAAATTATCACAACCTCTTGTAACTTTACGCAAAAAAAAAAACACCCAACCAACAAAAGGAAGAAAACAGCTGTACCTAAACAAAATCAAATCGTTGAAATCTTATTAAACTAGCTAATAAGGTGTTTCGATACAGTTTTTCAGAGGCCATACCGATATTTTTCAATCGCCTTAAAAGTAGATTATGTGAAGAGATTTTGAAAAAATTCGTTCGAGTCGTTTCGGAGATATACAAGAAAGCGCTAAAAGTCCAAATTCTGAATGAAGTTGCACTTATACAGATGGTGAGAAAACAGGTTAGATTTCAATATCGCATGAACGAAAGTACACCAAAATTTCCTAGCATCAAAACATGATATTAAGCATCATTCTTACGCTACTTAAGAATAATTTGAGTCATTTATAACGTTTTTATTAAATAACCTATCACGGCTATTGAAAATTTAAGGTTTGAAAGATATTTTCGTTTTAGTCGAATTCAAACATACAGAATTTTTTACTTCTTACGGAGATTGTTTGCTAAACACCAAACTTTAAGTTCCTAGTGTTGGATTTTCAGTAGCAGGTCTAGATCACACAAAATTCGACTTTTATCAATTTCAAAGTTTTTTGTTTATTGTTGTCATAGTAATATCGATTTTACTTAAAACTACATTTTCACAAATTTCAATCCATAGCCAATTACTGGTGAAAATTTTATAGCGATCGGACAAGGAAAAAACCACTTTTAAGGCGATTGAAAAATATCGGTATGGCCTCTGAAAAACTGTATCGAAACACCTTAACTAGGAGTGCAAATTATTTAAACTGATATACTTGGCAAACTTGGCAAAACTTCTTCCGTATGAGTGTATTTACTTTGTCTTAAATTTGAATAGGTCCCGCAAAAGAATCTAGACTAATTGTCATCATTTGTTCCAAGTTTTTTTTACGCAGAATGCTTAGTTAAAAAATAATATATTATATATACAACGCAAATGGTCGATGTTTTTTTTGGTGGACTCATGGAACTGAAAGCAATACAATTGCGACTTTCTGCAATTTGTTTTTTTGTTTTGTTTTTTCACAAGCATTAGAAGAAGGAACGTAAGTGTCTTATCCAATATATGTTATTGATAATACCCCCCCAGCCCCCCGCTTTCTTTTATTTTGTCAATGAACACTCCTTGTATTTTATAGCCGATGTCCAGTTTATCCTAGCATCGGTTTAGTAAAATAAAACGCTTCATTTAGTGTACGTGAATGAGTGTTCTATAAACGTTCTTTGATATTTATAAATATCTACAATCCAGGGAGAAAAAAGATTTACTCATTATTTAATATTCGTATATAAGCTTAAGGGTCCTGGGAGCAGGAGAGGCCCCGTGAGCGAAAGTACTGCTAGGTCCATCCCATTCCCAGGAGACTGGTATTAAAATACAATATGCTTTTGTTTCCGTACTTAAAGAGAACAACTACACCACATGTACAGGATTTTAACAGATAGCCACGGACTCAGATGAACCAGGGCCGTAGCCTAGAGGAAAAACTATCTGTTCACAGTTCTTTGTACAGATAGAGAATATTACATGGCCGCGCGGGGATACGAATTTTATCGTCGAGTGCTGAAGGTATCTCTCACGAGAAGATAAAGTTCGTATCCCCAAGCGGCCGTGTAATGTTCTGTTTATTTTATAGATACTGATGATATTCCTACATAAAACACAACTTTTTCTTGCTTCATTTTCGAAACAGCAAAATAGTGCAATTAAAATGGTCAACTATTGCAAAATGCCTGTCACAGAAATGTTATGAAACTCGGATATAAAGTTTTAGAGGAGAAATAAAGACAATAATACTTATATTTCCTGTTCCAAAAGGTCAAAATTCTAATGAAGAATGGCTATTCTAATGAAGAATGGCTAATCATGTTAGTAACCATGGCGACACCAATATCCTCACACGTGAAAGATAAAAATAGTATCTTCATTGCGCGCGATGAAGATATGATTTTTTAGTAAAAGGAAAAATCCTGGTATTTCATCAGTATCTATATTATAAATGAGAATACAACAATGTTTTGGAAAATTATAAAAGTGTTTGGATTTTGAGCCGTTTGGTCTGAAGTAGGGTATGGGTATCAAGGGGACCCCTAGACTACGAACAGTTTCTGTCTTTTTCTTTAATTTTCAGTGTCAGATACTGAACAAGTTATTGAATGCGTTCGCGAATCGAGCATAACTTCCAGAAGCCAGGTCTGAGAATGACGGGTGTTGAAAATTTCATATATTGGTCTGAAATATCCACCGATATTTCTGTAGAATTCCAGGGTGTTCCTGAACCCAACCTACTTAGACGAGAATGGAGCCCTTGCTACTCAAGTAAATAACTGGTAGCTTATTTGAATAGTAAGGGTTCCATTCTCGTCTAAATAACGGCTCCTGACCTCGTCAAGGGGGAGGAAATCCTCCCAGCCTAGCGGTGCGGATTGAAGGAGCCACCTCGGTGAAGACGATCGGCGGGCGAAGGCGTCACTTCCTTGGCGGAGGGTTATGCTGGTGGGTGAGAAAAAAAATTTAGTTATTTTTATCCTTATTTTTCAAATAATCGATGTTAAATTTTACAAAATGTCACAGTATATTGAATATTTACCTTAAGTTGAGGAACGCGGGATCCGTTTCTGCGTTTTCAAAGAAAAACCCCGTGTTCCCGGCAGTGGACATCTTGGGCACTATAATCGCCCTGAATTGGCCTGCGAACAAAGGGCTCTTTATGCCCACTGCCCGGCCCACGGAGTTTGACTGCTCCTCGAAACCCGTGATATTCCATTGGAACGTAGCCACTCTTCCCGGCGTCATGGGTGGTGTCACCTGAAGTGTAATGTATAAAATGTTCATTTTATCCCGCGAGCAAGCTCTCCTGCCTTTCCGATCCTCTGCCCCTCGCGGCTTCGCCGCTCGCTCGCACGTTCTCGCGAAAATCAGTTCGCTTGCCCAAATAGGAGAGCGTGCTCGCAGGCTATGTTCATTTACACCCTCAGTTGTAAAAACTATGTGTGAAACTATTACGGTTAAATAATTTGTGCCAATCAAATATTTCTTTTGCTATTACTTACTTCGTTTAACTGGTTCGCCCTCCTTTCTGCGAGCAGCAGCTGCAAGTGGCTCGCTGCGTTATCTGCCTCATGTCTCGCTTGATCCTCTCTTCGCAAGACATCGTTACACACCGGGAATGGACAAGTAACGAATGCGCGGGTACATGCGGAGGCAATGTGCCCGTTTAATTGGTCCCTGGAAGAGAGAATTTCCTTTTCTTTACGCCTTTTGTCTTCGTGTCGTTGTTTCAGGCTAGAGATATAAAGTTTAAAGTAAGTTAATTAATATTAACAATATTTGTCAGGGCTTTTTGCGCCTAATAGTAGGAGAGATTGCACGAGACTAGTACTTACCGGGGTATGGAAACCAGATTGTAATTGAACGGGCACATTACAGGGGCCTTCCGACATGCCAGCT